ATCCTGAGCAACAGGTACAAAAGTCTGATCTCCTTGTGGCCTGCATGTATACACACACATTTAAAACATTTATCTGAAAAAAAACGAAACAAAACAAAACAAAACAAAACAACAATAACAAAAAATTTATTAATTTGGCCAGGTGGTTGTGGTGCACGCCTGTAATCCCAGTACTTGGGCAGTAGAGGCAGGCAGATCTCTGTGAATCCAATGCCAACCTGTTCTTCAGAGGAAATTCCAGGGCAGCCAGGGCTACACAGAGAAACCTTCTAGGAAAAACAAAGCAAACAAAAATTGAGAGGGACTGTAAAGATGGCTCAGTAGTTAAGGTACTTGTTCTCTCTTGAGAGGACCAGAGCTGATTCCCTGGACCCATCATATGGTGACTCCCAACCATCTATAACCCCAGTTACAGGGAATCCAACTCGGTATTCATGTAGTGTACACACACGAATACAGGCAAAAGATTGATAAACAGAAATCTAAAAAAAGCTTAAAAATATATAACCTAACACTATAAGCCAAAATTGCTTTACTCCCAGGTGAAGTCATCACGATTCATATATCAATTTCTCCAAAGCTATGCTAAGAATGGCATAATTCTTCCTAATAAAATCCAATAAACTATTAGTCTTAATTGAGCAGTCAATATATAGAAATTTTGTATAAATTTCAGGGAAAGATGTTAAAAAGTCAAGGATACCTTTAATCCCAGCAGTCTCCTAGGTAGCAGAGGCAAGAGGAGCTCTGTGAGTTTTAGGATATGATACACAATAGAGTTCCAAGCCAGCCAGCATGTTACAGTGAAGACACCTCAAAAAAAGGAGGGAGTGGGGACTGGAGAGATAGCTCTTTGATTAAGAATACTTGCTGTTCTTACCAAAGACTCCAGTTCAATTCTCAGCACCCACATGTTGGCTCACAACCTTCTGTAACTCCAGTTCTAGGAAATCCAATGCCCTCCCTGACCTCTGTAGGCAACTGCCCACGTCATGCACATGCATATATAAAGTGAAAATATTCATATACATAAAACCATTTTTAAAATTAAAAAGAAAAACAAGGTTTTCTCCCATTATGAGTTTCCCAGGGTATCAAGAAGCATTAGGGGGTATTATTTTCTGGCCCCAAAATAATCACTTAAATCAGGTCTGTTTTTTTTTTTTTTTTTGGGGGGGGGCTCTGGTGGCACAGGTTTGTAATCACAGCTACTGAGGCATTCAAGGCCAGCCTAGGTAACAGGAAATTTTTCCTCAAGTAGTTAAATAGTCAGTGAATCACTGTAACTCTTATCGTTTCTCAACATACATAGTGTCCTCATATCTCAGTCCCTGGGGCCGTTTTGGCAAAATCAAAAGAGCATTAAAATAGGGCGCCGGGTGGGTTAACACACCTTTAGTCCCGGCAGTGTACCCGGAGAGTTCTATGAGTTCAAGGCCAGCATGGTCTACAGAGTGAGATCCAGGATAGCTAAGGCTGTTACACAGAGAAACCCTGTCTCAAAACACACACACGCACACGCGAATATTAGGAAACAGGATCCGATATCATCGTGATTGGTAAACCATGGAGATTATTATACTCAGAAAAAAAAAAAAAAAAAACCAAATGTCCAAAGTGGCATAATTCTTCCTAATAAAATCTCTTATGATGGTGTGTCTTGTCCCTTCCCCCATCTAACAGTCTTTACGGCTACCTAATCCTCTAACTGCCTCATTCCTTTTTTTTATGTCGCAGTTTCAGAACCAGAGAAATCCGGGCAAGGGGATCCCAGAGGATTCCCAGGGCCAAAACCCGAGCGGCAATCACTGAGGACAGCAGGCCGGGGATTAGACGGGGCCATCCGGGCTGCGGAGAGGGTCTGGGCCTCTGCCTCGGGACCTCCCCACTCCCTCCCCAGGGGCCTGAGGAGGCGGGCCCAGAGTGGCCGCGCCACACCCTCCCTCGGCTGGCCCTGCCCCGGGGGAAGCCCCCTAAGCCACACCCCGGGCGAGGTCCGCCCCCAGCCACCCGGGCCTCCTTCCTGTGGGGAAGTGGGCTGCTTTCGCGTCCCCTACCCGCTCGCCTCGGTCCCGCGGCCGCTGCGCAGCCGAACGCCAGCCGGCCAGGGGCCTGGCGTCCGAGACCTCGGGCTCGCGAGTGCGCACGAGGCCCGGTGACGGGCCGCGGCCCGCAAGCCCGCCGCCCGGGCCGGAGCTCTCACCTCGCCACCAGTAGGTCTTGGACAGGTCGTGCCAGGTCTGATGCCGGGTGTGGTGGGTGCCTCCAGGGCCCAGGTGTGCCGCCTCTATGAGGCCCTGGCGCCGCTCCGGCTGCAGCACGACTCAGCTCCGCGAAGGTCTTGCGGTGCCGCTGCCGCCGCTGGTAGTACAAAGTCCCGCCGCGCACAACGTAGCAGGCGGCAGCCTTGCGGATTTTACGCTTGACATTGCCCTCCGGTGCCCGGGTGCATGAAGGCTCACGTTCGTTCGTCAGATAGCGCAGGATGGCCCGATAGCTTTCCTCGCTTGACATCGCTGAAGGCAGCGCCCTCAGGGCGCCCTGTCAGACGGCAGGGGAAAGGCAGACAGCGCGCTGGCTCCGTAGAGATGCAACCGCAGCGGCGACACTGTTCCGGAGGAACGCCTACGCCTCGGGTGGGCGCTCTTCGAGGGCGCCCGCAGCGCCGAGGAAGAACCGACGGCTTGGTAACCAGGGGGAACTGCACTGCTGCAGCGCGCGGGATCCGCTGCCGACTGACAAAATGGCTGCTGCACCACCGGAAGTGACGCACGTGCAAGGCGGGGCCTAGGGCCTGATTGGAGCGCTCTGGATTTCTGGGTCTGAGAGCAGCCGGCGGAGTGACGTCAACTCTGCGGGAGGACATTTTGGAAGAGGGTACGCTCTTTCTGGCAGATATAAGAGTCTTCCGCAGACATCTTAAGTCCTGGCAGGGTTTTTTTTTTTTTTTTTTCCTTCCTTTTCCCACGCTCGCTGAGAAGCCACGTGTTTGAGCTGTTGGGTGTTTGTTGCCCAGACTGAGACCCTTACCCAGAAGGGAGGAGACCGTTTTTTGTCTACTCCGAGACTCGGTATACTTGATTCCGTCAATTTTGAAACTGTAGCAATCGTTTGCCACTGGAATGGCTCTGGGCCAAAGGTAGTCGCAGTATTATCAAGCGTGAAGTGTCTCAATGTTAACGAATTTATCCTTTTAAAAGTATCTCCAAACTACCCAACGAGTCGTAAGATTTTTCTAGAATCGGAATGGAAAGATGGCTCAGCCGTTAAAGGCTAGGCTCACAACCAAAAGCATAAGGGTATTCCTCGAGTCATTACCATGGTGATGACTATGCAGTTCCAGATTATTTAAATGAATAAATTAACATGAAGAGGCAACCTGGATTACCCTTCCTGGTCGTAGTCTGCTGTGCTCTTGGAATGCCTAGACACTTGCTGCGCTTTGTTGAATTGGAAGGTTCCAGGCTTCCCAACTCATTTTTTTCGGCCTGGAGGATACTGACCTATGAGGGGTTTACACCTTTATCGGATCTCAGGTGAGGAGCAAAGGAGGTGTTTAGGGTTTCTCCTGCTATAGTGGAAATGAAGAGAGCATCATTCCCAGGCCCATATCGTGATGCAGGTATGCAAACTCCTTGAGGAATTTGGTCTGTAGAGGGTGTGGCCTTGCGACTCTAATCTACCTTAAAAACCTTAGCAAGATTTTTTAATAAATCTTGAGAATACTGGGAAAATGAGGTAGCAAATCTAAGACCCAATTAATTTACTTTCAGAAAAGCCCTCACCTGGTAACCATTTGGAGGTAACAAAAATTGTGAGATTGAAATTTCTTCCTCAGGGAAGTCAGTTTGATTGCCTTGTTCAATTATGTCCTAGCAAAAAAAAAAAAATCTGCATTCCATGTGTTAGACCATTTTTTATGCAAATCAATGGCTAGTTGGGAGAAACATCATGTTACTTGGCTGGGCTCAAACCTTACCGATCCTACCTCAGATTCTTGAACGCTTGCTTCACTTTTACCAACTCAAATTCATTACATAGCTAAGGTGACTTTGAACTTGTGAAAATTTAAAACCTGGTATGGCTTTCTTATTCTCTAGTTCAGGAAACAAGTGCAACATACCAAAGTAAGCAACACTGACCTGGTGGCATGAGCATTTAATGCTAACACTTTTTAACAAACACTGGAGTAGACATCTTACCTTTCTCAAAAAATATCAGGTTATGGTACCACTGGACTTTAATCCCAGTACCGATGAGGTAGGTTAATCTCTGGGAATTCCATCCAGGACAGCCAGAATGACTAGACTCAACCACAAAAACAGCCCAGTGTATTGGCGCACTCCTACATACAATCTTGACACTAAAGGGGCAAGACAATCTTGAAGTTCCTGCTGTTTTCAATCTTAAAAACTATACAGTGGTTTTCAGTGAATATCACCGTGGAAGAACAAATTAGTGGTTTTAAACTCCTTATAGCCAAGGATAGCTGAGGTACTAATCAAAAGAAGGTAAACCCAGCTGGGCAGTGTTGAGGACTTTAACCCCAGCAGGATTCTACAAAGCTACAGAGAAGTGCTGTCTTTTAGAAACAAAGCAAACAGAAGCCAGCCTGGTCTACAGAACAGAGATCCAGAACAGCCTTCAAAGGCGTTAAAAACCTCATAGTTCACAACAGTATCATTTTGCATGACTTCCCCCCCCCGCCCCCCCCCCCCAAGACAAGTTTCTCTGTATTGCTTTGGAGGCTATCCTGGAACTAGCTGTGTTGACCAGGCTGGCCTTGAATTTATGAGATTTGCCTGCCTCTGCCTCCTAAGTACTGGGATTAAGATTTAAAATGTGAGACTATGGCCAATAAGAAATGGAACATTTTTAGATAGGTATTGAATATAGGAACTCAGGCAAGCTAAACATACAGTCGGTGGCTGTATCATTCCCTCCCCAAATACAACACTTTTTGTGGGAAAAAAAAATCAAATATCAAAACAACATCTAGCAGTTAGATCTTTATTTGAAACTCCAATCTACCAAGTTAGCGTTTTCCACCAACTCGGGAGCGGAGACCTTCACAGGCTTCACAATCTTTTGTTTAGGTGCTGCTTTTGTAGGGGCCTGTAAAAAAAAAAAAGTTCACTGACTTAATTTAACTGCATTATTACCAACTTCAAAGTAACCTATGATTAAAGTTCATTTCCACCATATATAATAGACACTATCACAGATTGGACAGTAAGTTAACTACGAAGTGTGGGACCCTGAATTTGTTAGTAAAAATGGGATAGTTCTGAAGGACATTCTGGCTGGCTTTGAACTCTTCCTGTCTCCACTAGGACTAGAGTCACACTACGTACTATACACAGCCACTTAAGAATATCTTGGGTGGGGCACACCACAGCAAGCATGTAGGCAACTTGTGGGAATTAGCTCTACTACATAGGGTACTTAAAGATCAAACTCAGGTCACCGGGCTCTGCAACAAGTGCCTTTACGTACTGAGCCATCCTGTTGACCCAGAATGATTTTTTATTACACTTGAGGGAGCAGGTTCTTACATGACACATGTTAAAGTCAGAGTACAACTCACAGTATTGGTTCTTTCATCTTGTCTGTCCCCATGGCTAAATTAGGGTTGGTAGCAAATGCCTTTACAGGCGCAACCATCTGCCCACTCAAGAACGAAAAACTTAACTTTTCTGGCCTTAAATCTTTCAACCAATTGAAAATTATGTGTAAACTCACTGTACTGATAAACAGTGTAAAATTACTTCAAACAAAGCCTAAAAACTCAAAAGCCTAGCTGTGCACAAGGGACCATGCCCTAATGCTAGCTAGGCAGCAGGACTGCCTATCCTTCAATTGAGAAGTCTTTTTCATAGTTCTAAGCCAGACTTGTTTTATTATAGTGGCACATCTCAAAAGACTCACTAGAAACTTTGAGATATAACTACCTGGAAATTAGCTATAACCATTTCCAGTAGAAACCCACACCTGAAATTTACTAGTCCTTGTATTAAAGATAAAATTTATTATTGTTAAGAAACCTAAGAACCCAATTACCTTGGCAGCAGCCATTGCTGTTTTCTTGGATGCCTGCTTAGCCTTTTTTGCTTCCTTGGCAGCCCTGTGGGGTCATAAGCAACATTAATTAAGCCAAAGACTTTACTCTTTAAGAACACAACTTATGGTAAAGGGCTAGAGTTTTGGACAAGCAGAACATACACATATACATATATACTCCTTCCCCATATTTGTAAATAAAATCAAAATACAGAGCCAGTCTCAATGGGACAAACCTAGTTACATAACCCTTGAGGGCTGTGGCAGGAAGACCATAAACCAAAGGCCAGAGGGGTTTCACTAGGGCAGCTTAGCAAATTAGCCGTAAGAGATCCAAAAGGTCACTTTAACATATGAAACTGTACTATGATTACTGAGTTAACAAATTATTTAAAGCATATAACTGCAATGTGCTTCTAACAACTGACAGTCTCATGAGATTAGGTTCCCCATACCAGAAAAGCCATCTAGTCACCACAGTAGCTCCCATGTTCATGGTAGAGCACTGCCTTACCGGATAGCCTGCTCTCGCTGGGCTTTCCTGACTTCAGGTTTCTGATTCCTCTTGGCCATGATATCAGCAAGGGATGCACCCGTGATGGCACGCTGGAATTTGACTGCTCGGCGAGTTCTTTTCTTCTGAATTTCTTCCTACAAGGCAAAGATTATGACTGATCAACCTTACTCAATGACTTTGGAAGTGGAAATTCAAATGGCTTTTTTTTCTTCCAGTGTGTATGTGTGTGTGCTGAGACAGATTTCTGTGTACTACTGCCACAAACCAGTGTTGGAATTAGGTGTGTACCATTATGCCTGGCCCCTTGGGGTCAAAGGGCTCTTAAATTTAATAACCAAGTTAACTCATGCCAATTACATGAAATAACTGCTTCCCAGGTTAGGAATTATTTTAACCTTGTATTACAAATCATGACCCCCTTTGCTACTGAAAAAGACAAAAAGCCTTGAATTTTCAGTAAGAATTGTTCACTTCAGGAGTTGGTACTTAAAAATGACTTTGAGGGTAGAGATGGCTTATCATCAGTAAGACTGGCTGCTCTGGTAGCAGGGGCCAGATGTTCTCTCACTTCTGAAGACACCAAGCACACACAGCCATCCAGGCAAACATCACACATAAAAATAAATCTAACAGCTGTTATAACAACGATTTAAACAGCCTGGCAGTGGTGACACACCCCTTTAATTGCAACACCTCGGAGGCAGAGGCAGGCTGCTCTCTGTGAGTGCAAGGCCATCCTGGACAGCCAAGGATATACAAAGAAACCCTGTGGGGGGGGGGGAGGACGACACCAAAAAACCATGATTTTAGCAAGACTATTTTTGCAGACTTAAATCTACTTATGAAAAGGGCATAGGAAGAGAATACTAAAATCTATCAGAAACCCATTTGCTGTGGATTCTATACTGGAAGCCTATACTACAGTTACTGTGGGAAACAAGATCTCACAATGTAGACTGGTATTAGTGACACAGGTCTTTAATCTGAGTCTCAGACCGGCCTGGACTTCACAGGGAAACCCTGTCTCAAAAAAAAAAAAAAAAATTTTTTTTTTTGCAAAGTAGAAACCCAGAATTTCTCACCCCAAATCCTTCTTAAAATAGTAAATTCTCAATTTCCCTCTCCTTACATTTCAGTCTACCAACCTGCCTAAATCTAGGACCCTCATAGAATCGAAACCACGGGATTATCCTTTTGCCCAGCCTACCTAAGACCATGAGAAAACAGATTTACAATTCATAAAAAGTAGCAAAACCTATAAAGTAAAACTGACAATTTTTTATGGTTGGTGGTCACCAGGATCTGCATTAAAGGGTCACAGCATTAGGAAGGCCGAGGAGCACTGGTCTAGTCTATTTCTTCAGGCTATTTTAGCATTTCTGCAATGCTGGCCGTCTTTCACCCTTTAAAAGGCTAAATATCCCAAACCAAAAACTTGTGGTCCCTCCATGGTGAGATATGAAGCAACCACCACAAATGGAAAAATTGCACTGCTGAGTTCATGACTGTGTTTGCTGACAAAATACAGGTCTAGCAACACTGCTTTTCATCACTGAAGTATCTTTGGACACGCAACTATTTTTAAGAATCCCAAAGCAAGCCAGCAGTGGTGACAAATGCCTTTGATTCCGGTATTTGGGAGGCATCGTTCCAAGATAGTTGGGGAAACAGAAAAACCCTGTCTCAGAAAAGTCTGAATCAAAATAAACCCAAATAGACTGGGTGTTGGCATTGGATACTTTTAATCTCAGCACTTGGGAGGCATAGGCAGGTGAATCTGAGTTAGAGGCCAGTCTGGTCTAAGAGTTCCAGGACAGGCTCCAAAGCTACACAGAGAACCCTAATAAAACAAAAGTCCCAAATAGAAAACTTTCTAGTTTCAAACACTCAACCTATAGAATCCACGATCTCCTTTTTTGGAGATGGGATTTTACTTTGTAGCCTTGACTGTCCTCAAAGTCAATTCTCCTTTCAAGAGCTCAGAACCAAAATTTATTAATTTTGATGCTTTCATACTTAGAACTGCCAGATATTAAACTTTCTAAAATTTTTAGCACTTTGTCAGTTTAGTTATAGGAAAGTCAGGTCTACAGAAAAACCCTGTCTCAAACAACTAACTGAATTAACATTTTGAGTTAAAGGAAAGGTTTGCCACAGCAGCTGCATCGTCTTAGTTTAGCAGTATGACTACATCCTCACCAACACCTATCAGATCGCCACTGGGGCATCCAAACAGATCTATTGATTGAAATTAGAAATGAATCCTTATTTCCACTAACCTTGAACTATTTATTGATCCTCTTGCTCCCACCTCCCAAACACTGGAGTTCCAAGAGTGAGCCACCATGTCCACAACACATCTGCTACTATTTACTTACTGTAACACATAGCTAGACACTAGTAAGACCCAAACATGACAAGCCTCCTGACTACCTAAGCTGTAGTTCTACCAGCACACCTCTACCCATTGCAACACCACACACAAGTGTCTCGACAACCCAAACGAAACCTACGGAGGGGATCCTTTCAAACTTCAACACACAGCCCTGAGTCTGTACTATACAGGCGACGCCAGTTCTGTGACCTCAATTTTAAAAGGCTAGCAAGCTGTATTCCACTTACCGATTGTCCCTTCTTGTGTTTTCTTCTGTAGAGGACAGTCCAGTTTATCTGCCGAGGATTCCTTTTGGAAAGGAATGCGGACTCGCATTTTGCATTAAGAAACTGGAAAACCTGGGGTTAACAGATCACAAATTAGTCTCTCCTTTCATACAGAGTATGAGGCCGAGATCGAAAAACTCCTCATACAATTTCGTTCTAGTTTCTTCGTCTCAGCTCTGTGACCCAAGTGGCAGGTAACCGGGCAGCATCAAGCTCTCCCTCCACATTTCATCCTTTCTCAAGAGCAGGCGAATCTGCACTCGTTCCTAAGGGTCGGATGGCATTACATTTCGGAGAAAATCTGCCTTAGCCCTGCCAGACTTAGTCCTGGAGATTTCCCTTTCCCGGGGCCGCCTGGCCCACACTCCATCTGCATGCTCCCAGGCTGCCCACCGCACACGCGGGCCCCGGCTCTTCACAGGCCAGCGGCCCGGCCTTCCGGCCTTTACCTTCCCGTCAGTCCTGGCGTAGCGCCGCCCGTGTCCCGGGTAGATCTTGTACCCGCTGAAACTGCACAGCTCGACCCTGTAAGGGAAACCCAAAGCCCGTTAGGCTGTGCGCTGCAAGGAAAAGCCATCCCCGGGTGCTCTGCCGCAGGATGGAGGCGGATGGGACACGGAGAGCCGCTTACTTCATGGTGACTGCTGCCGCCCGGCCCGAGGGAAGATGGCGAAGAGAAAGAAGGAATCATGGGAAAACACCTTATAGGGCCGCGGCGAGAATCTCCTCCCTAAATTCCCGTCCTTGACCGGCGCCCTGTGATGATGTCACTTCCGGGAGTCGGTTCTCGGTTTCCTAGCAACAGCTTCCTTCCAAAATTATTGACAAGACCCTGCCCTGCAAAGGTTCTGCAGACCCCAGGAGGTGGCGGTCAAGAAGACGGGCCTGGCTTCGGTTCTGGGTCATTCCGTTTCCCGCAGGCACGTGTTCTAAAGTCTAGAGCCAGCCTTTTGCAGGGACCATGGACAAAAAGGGTGTCCCACGTGTCTTTCCTCTCTTCTAACCAAGACTGCAGACGAGTATCTCTCAAGTAAAACCTGAAGGTCACCTTATGCCTTCACCCTCAGAAACAAAATTAAATCGTAGTAGCTGACAGGATGGCCCAGAGATAGCGCGAGTGGTACGCGAAACCCTGAGTTAAATCTTCAACTTCAGGGGAAAAAAAATTTTTTACAAGTAATGTGCTTTGACCCAGGCAAGGTGGCTCAAGGTTTTTAATCCCAGCTCCCTACCCCGCCCCCCGCCCCGCAGTCCGGTCTGCATAGCAAGAGAGTGCCCGGGCTACACAGTGAGACCCTGTATCAAAAGCTACAAAGCCGGGCATTGGTGATGCACGCCTTTAGTCCCAGCACTCTGGAGGCGGAGGCAGGCGCATCTCTGGGAGTTCGAATTCAGTCTGGTCTACAAAGAGAGTTCCAGAAAACCAGGGCTCTTACACAGAGAAACCCTGTCTCAGAAAACCACAAACAACAAAAGTTGATATATCATGGAGTCTAGGATTTACCTTAAAATAACTTGAGAGGTTTACAGGTAGAGGGATGTGTGAAGAACTGGTTGGCCAAGAGTGGGCAATATCTCATTCTACACCCATCAAAATTAGCCTATTGTCTTTTCCGCCAATGGCAGATGGAGTTCTGTCTGTCTGTCTGTCTGTCTCTCTCTCTCTGTCTCTCTCCCTCCCTCCCTCTCTCCCTCTCCCTCTCTCCGTCCTTCCCTCTCTTCTCTCTCCCTTCCCTCCCCAACTCCCCTTCCCCAATAAAACTTCATTCTTCCCATGTTAAAAAAAAAAAAATTAGCCTATTGTGGTGGAGTATAAGAACAGTGGTTACTGTTACTTGGAAGTGGGATTGGTAAGGAGCACACTTTGTCTGTTAATGGTAACATTCTATATTTGGGTTGATTTGGATTAAATGCAGTTTGTTTAAACTTTGGAAATGTTCCTTACAATTTGTTCGTTGCACTGTATATAAATTTTACTTCTGTGTTATAAGGGGTCTCTTAGTTCTCTTCTGGAACTAAGAATCCTGTCGGGAGACCCAGGTTAAACAGTCTATTTAACCTTGCAAAGCAAGCACTCCAAAGACAGATTGGTGCTGAGGACAATAGAGGAGGGGGTGTGGGGGAGTTTTCAGCCCAGCCAGCTTTGCCTTGGAAGATGTAAAGACAGTTTTATGAATATTTATGAGGTTACTGGCATATTCATGAGGACAGTAACACTTCCCTCCTGTCATGGAAGACGGGACCTCCCTTTTGTGGATTTCCCCTCCCCTGTTCGCCTGGAAATGCCCACAGGAATGGGGATGGCAGCAATGAGTGGACATGCACACCCTTCCTCAGTGTACATGTGTATCCTGTGTGGCAGGAACAGTCTCTTGACCATGAGACATAGCAATAAGACCCAGCTGAGATTTTCTTGGTTGTCCTATATCTAATTCTTAGAGAAAGTTTTGAGATGTATTTATTTTATGTGTAAGAGTGTATTGCCTGCATGTGTGTCTGTGTACCATGTCCCTGCAATGCCAATGAAGGCCCGAAGAGGACGCTGACTTGGTGTTTCAGATAGTTGGAGCCACCATGTGGGAATCCAACCCATGTCCATCAGAAGAACCCATGTCCATCAATGCTCTCAGCTGCGGAGCCATCTTTTCAGGCCCCTTTTATTTTATTATTTATTTTATTTTGAGACAGGGTCTCTCTGTGTGTCCTGGGCTCCATGGATCAGAATAGCCTTCAACTTACAGGGATCCACCTGCCTCTGCCTCCTAAATGCTGGGATCAAAGGTATGCACCACCAAACCAAGCACCCATCCCCCCCTTTTTTAAAACTACAAAAGGTTCCATGATTGATCTCATAACTGTCAGTAAAACATTTTCTTATGTGTTTGTTTGTTTGTTTGTTTGTTGCAAGGACTCTTTACATAGTCCTGGCTGTCCTGGAACTCACAGAGATCTGCCCGTTTCTGCCTCCTTAGTGCTGGGATTAAAGTCTTTCACCACCATGCCTGGTTCATTTTTTAATTTTTTTTTTTCATTTTTTAAATTTAGGTTTTAGTGCTGGGCGTTGGTGGTGCATGCCTTTAGTCCTAGCACTTGAGAGGTAGAGGCAGGCGGATCTCTGTGAGTTTGAGGCCAGCCTGGTCTACAGAGCTAGTTCTAGGACAGGCTCCAAAGCAATACAGAGAAACCCTGTCTCGAAAACCAAAACCAAAAAAAAAAAAAAAAAAATTAAGTTTTAGTAAGAAAGTTGGCATCAAAGAGATCAGAGCTTTGGTGGTTGGCCTCCTGGGATCCCTCCTCCCAGCTCTGTTGCTCAAGTCTGATCTTCTAAGTAACTAAAGGCCCAGGGACACGGTCTAATGGTATTGGAGTTCCCTAGCATGCCTAAGGCCCCAGCACTGCAAAACTAAAACTCATTCACATTTAGAAAAAAAAGAAAACTAGATAATATGGATTACTAGTAAGTGCAATACATGCTGATCTATTTTAAGAGATATGTATTGAAAACATGATTTATTGATAGATGAATAGATATGTGATAACAATAAGTATAAAATGTTGGTGATAAAATCAAAGCTATATAAATGTTTACTGTAAAGTTCTTTCAAAATTTCCAGTATTTCTAGAACTTAAATAAAGGGAGCCCTCTTCTGGAAGCATCTGGTATTACAGCTTGGCTCAGAAAAACAAATAAGGAAAAAGAGAATGATGTGTTTTGCAGAGCCTGCCCTGCAATGTTTGTCTGTCCTTTTTAATAAACCCTGTTGGCTCATCCTCATGTGCCTAGTCTGTCCTTTTTGTTTAGAAAGACATTTCCCTTTTCACTGGCTAAATTCTTATTTCCATTATACTTCCTCTAGAATAGGGAACAGCAAATGTCTTCTGTAAAAGGCCAAATAGCAAATGCTTTCAGCCTTGTTGAAGGAGAGACGTTGAAGATATCATATTGGTACATATATGGCAAGGAAAAAAAACAAGTTTAGACAACATTCTTTGTTTTTTGAGACAGGGTTTCTTTGTGCAGCAGTATCTGTCCAAGAACTCATTCTGTAGACCAGGCTGGCCTCAAACTCACAGAGATCTGCCTGCCTCTGCCTCCCGAACCCTGGGACTAAAGGAGTGTGCTACCACCACCTGGCTGTGAATACAGCTTTTAAAAAATGTTTTAACCTTTATTCCAATTTTTGTACGTGGGTATATGTATGCCTGTGCACCGTATGCATGTAATGACCACAGAGGCCACAGAAGAGGTCAGACACCCTGGGACTGGAGTTACAGTCATGAGCTGCCATGTGAGTGCGGGCAATCTGACCATGGTCCCTCTGCAAGAACAATCCGTTCTCTTAAGTGCTGAGCTGTTTCTCCAGCCCCCAGTACAGCTTCTTTGTAAAAGCAAATTTTGCTAGTCTGAGAAACGGCTTATTGGATGAGTATCAGACTGCCAGTCCTGACCACCTGAGTTGGAACCCTAAGACCCACATAGCGGAAGGAGAGAACTGATTCTGTAAGTTGTCCTCTGACCCTAACACATGTGACATGGTGTGTGTGTGTGTGTGTGTGCACCTCCCTGCCTCCCCACGATAAAAATTTAAAGCCTACTAATGAAAATTAAATTCTTATTTACAGTTCTCTTTTCAGATGATTTTTTTATATTTCAAAGTTGTTTATTGCCTGACACTGAATTAATTAATGTTCATTTGTCAGTCATGATATAGAATGTGATTTTACAAAGATTATCTTTGGCTGGGTGTTGGTGGCACATGCCTTTAATCCCAGCACTTGGGAGACAGAGGCAAGTGGACCTCTGAGTTCGAGGCCAGCTTGGTCTACATAGCTAGTTCCAGGTATGGCTCCAAAGCTACAGAGAAACTGTCTAGAAAAACCAAACCAAAACATAACAAAAACAAAGTTTATCTTTGAAAAGCATCTTTGTGTGCAGATAGACGCTACACAATACTGATAGCAATCTGAGCATATAAGTTGGCATATTCATTGTTGAGCCATTCGGTGAGGCTCAGGTTAAGAGTCCCCTTGCTGGAGGTCAAAAGCAGGCTTTGGTTGGAAACAATTCTTGTCCCATAGAAAAGCAGGGTGGGGTTTATAACCCCCAAACCCCACAATCACCT